GGGATGGGATGGGATGGGATGGGATGGGATGGGATGGGATGGGATGGGCAGGCAACCCCCACATTGGGACCCAGCCCATTCAATCCCCGGGTGTTTCTGCCCAGATCTACGAAGATTCCATTGTCCTGCAGTCCGTTTTCACCAGCGTGCGGCAGAAAATAGAGAAAGAGGATGACAGTGAAGGCGAGGAGAGTGAGGAAGAGGAGGAGGGCGAGGAGGAAGGCTCGGAGTCCGAGTGTGAGTCCCAGGGTGCCTGGGTGGGTGTTTGTGGCTTCCTGGGATGGTCAGGATCTCTGGCTTCATGCCCACCCGAGAGAACCAGCGGTCTCGCACCCCGTCCATTCATAGCCCTCCTAGCTCCCAGGTGCTCCCAACTCAGGAGGTGCTGTGTTCTCGAGAGCTCATGTCTTCTTCTTTCCCCCTTTCTGATCCCCACCCCAGCCCGCTCAGTCAAAGTGAAGATCAAGCTGGGCCGGAAGGAGAAGGCACAGGATCGGCTGAAGGGGGGCCGGCGGCGACCAAGCCGTGGGTCCCGGGCCAAGCCAGTGGTGAGCGACGATGACAGTGAAGAGGAGCAGGAAGAGGTAAGGCCTCAGGACCCTGGGACAGGCAGGAGGTCCAGTGGCAGTTGGGTCATTGGAAATCCATCCTCATGCCAGGTACCTTATACCATGGTTCCTATGAGGGTAGATGCTCTCACATCCCCACTCCACAGGTGGGGAAACTGAGGCTCATTGCTATATGGCATGTAACTCAAGCCCAAGTCCATGTGACACTGTAGAAGCAGTGCTCTTAGCACCAGTGGGTGTCTGGGAACAGGGTGGGTGTCCCATTCTGTTCCCACTACATCAGCCTGCACAGCTGTTTGGCAGGACCCCAGGCCTGTCTTGCCATGGCCCAAGGTGGGACCAGGTCTTTGAGCTCAAGGGCAGGAGACATTGAGATTCGAGATGCCCCCCATATAGTCCCTATCCCCTCAGCATCTGTCCTCCCCAAGCCAACTCAGTGCCTTGCTGTCCAGCCACAGCTGCCATTGTTCTCACCCCATGTGACATATACCATGTGCCCAGGTCTCTGCTCCTGGCTCTGTTCTGACCTGCCTAGCAGGATTTCCTAACAATGCTAAAAAAAAAAAAAAAACCACAAAAAGCAAAATCCCTGGCTCCCCAGTTACAAAATGACATGGAACAAACATCGTGAATGGGACTGATGCATGTCCCCTGTCACAGGTTGTGGTCCCCACACACTGGGGAGAAGCTGCAGGCTTGTCAAGCCCACAGTGGGCAGTTTTTGGCGGGTAAGGTATGGGAGCAGACCCAATTGCTGTGTTTAAGTAAGCTTTGCCTCCTGATCCCAGTCCAGACACCTGGCCCTTCCCTGCTGTGGGACCTGGGCAGTTCACTTCACTTCTGAGCCTCAGTTTCCACTTCTACAAAATAGGGAGGTAGACTAGATTATGGGGCCAGGCTCCTGACCAGACTCAGTAGTAAGCACTATTTTGGTGGTGGTCTTCTTGTATAGCCATTTGCAATAACAGCAAAACTAAGTATCTTGGAATAAATCTGACCAGAGACATACATGACCTTATGATGGGGTCGATGATGTCCTGAACATGGGGAGGGGTGCCCATGTTTCAAGAGAGGAGGTCTGGGCTATAACAGTGCCCCAGTCCAGATCCATCAGGGCATTTTATGGCCCTTGCCAAGCTGCTTAAAATGTTAAACAGAAGAGTAAAGATCTTTAGTAAAGATCTTTCGTGGTTAGGAACAACCAAGGTGGTTTTGAAGCCCAAGGTCAGGGGCATAGGGATGGAACAGGGAGGGCCTGGTGAGCCTCCTAGATCCCAAGAAAGAATCAGTGTGGGCACAGGGGCCAGTCCTCAGGAGAAAAATCGCATTGGGGTGTGGCGTGGCAGAAGGGGCTGAGGCCAAAGACCACTCCACCCTCACAATCCCTGTGCTGCTCACATATACCCAGGAAAAGCAGTTCCATTGCCTGCGCCAGTGTTTCAGTCTCAGGGTCCCCTCAAGGGTACAGACAACTCATGCTGTCTCCTCTCCCCCTCCAGGACCGCTCAGGAAGTGGCAGCGAGGAAGACTGAATCTCGACATTCCAGATTCTCGACCCTAACCCCCTCGTCCCAGGGCCGAGGTGGTGTAGCTCTTAGCAGTAACGGGTAGCAACAGATGTAGTTTCAGACGTGGGGTAAAACTGTATAAACGAAAATCTTCCATATTTATACGGCAGAGAAGATGTAGGACTGTTTGTGTCTGGTCCTGTCCTGGCTCAGTAGAGTTTGTTAACAGCATTAACTGTTTAAAATGACAGAGAATTATGAATCGGGGAACACACGACACCTGTTTTTCTTTTCCTTTCTTGGCAGTACTGTTGCGGCCGCAGTTTGGAATCACTGTAGTTTAAGCTGTGGATGCATGTGTGTAGCCGTCCACTCCTTGTACTGTATTTTTTGGACAGGTCACACTTGCCGGGCCCGGGGACCGCAGGCCCGGTGAGGGTATGTCAGTGTCACTGGATGTCAAACAGTAATAAATTAAACCAACAACAAAATTCATAACTTTGCCTTCTTCTGCTGGACTCAGTCCCGGCTCCTAGCACATTTTCAGTAAAGCCCTGGCAGCCTTTGTGGAGCCTCCTGTCCTGTCACCAGATCCCAGGTAGCCTCTTTCACGGGTGGATACTGAGGCCCGGGCTTCACACCAGCTAATGACAAGCTCAGGCTTTTGGCCCTACTGGGTGCCACTGTCATTCCCCATCATTTGTTCAAGCCCGCCCTGTCACACAGGAAGCAAGCAGCTCTGTCCCTTCCCTACCAGCAGCCAAGGTGAGATCAGGGAGATGGTCATATAAACAGGCAGGTGCCATACAAAGCGGTCAGTGCATGACACACAAAGCCCAGGGTATGTGGGAGCCCAGTGAACAGGGAGGGCTCCCAAGTTCAGAACTTCATTTGTGTTCTTTTCTCTAATTTTTGTCTCTTCATTAAGACCTTCTATGAATCGTTGTTATACTTGCCTTTAATCCTTCAGTTTCCTTTAGGTTTTTTAACACAATGGTTGCTTTGAAGTCCAACATCTGGACCCCTTCAGAAAAAGATTCTATTGACTACTTTTTTTCCTCAATGTTGGTCACACTTTCCTGTTTCTTTGCATATCTTGAAATTTTTTGTTCAAAAGTTGACATTTTATTATTTTTATTTATTTATCTTTTTTAAGAGAGAGAGAAAAACATCAATTTGTTCCACTCATATATGCATTCATTGGTTGATTCTTCTATGTGCCCTGACTGGGGATCGAACCCCACAACCTTGGCATATCAGGATGACACTCTAACCAGCTGAACCAAAAGTGGACATTTTAAAAATAGTAGATTGTAACAACTCTGAATTCTGATTCCTCACATGGGGAGTTGTGTTTTTGTTTTGTTTTTTGTTTACTTAGTCATTGCTGAACTAACTACAGTTTCTGTCTTCCCCACAGTGTGCAGCAGCTGATGACTGCTCAGTTTTTTGTTTTTGTTTTTAATTCCTTATTTTTAATCTAGGTGTTACACTAGGTCAACTTGGCTTCGAGGTCAGCCAGTGATGGCTCAGAAGCGGTGTTCAAACACAGGAGTCAGTGAGGCCTCGTGCCAGTGGCCTGGGCTCATTTTGCAGACCTACCTTTGCTCCCTGCCTGTCCCTCTTGCGTTTTCTCAGCACATGCACACAGCCTCCCTTTTGCGCAGGTTGCACCGATTTGTGGATTCATGGGGCTCTCTCCAGCTCTCCCATGCATGCATGCAGCCCTTTGGGATGTGTGGGGCCAACTGAAGCTGTCTCATTCCCTGGACTTCCTGTCTGATTATATCAGTCTGTTGCAACCAGGATCCCTACCTCAAGCTAGATAGGAGACCTTGGCCTAGCCCATTCATTCTACTCTGAGATCCCTATTTCCAGTATCCCCAGGGGCCTAAGGTTTTTCCACCCAGCTCCAAATCAAGTCAGTCCCCTCCAGCAGTGATTTTTATGGCAGTGGGAAGAAGCTGGGAGGCCCAGGCAAATAAAACACAATCTCCACTACTCTGCCATTCAGTCGGGGGGGTTTTCTCTTTTTTTTTTAAAGAATTTTTGTGAGTTTATTTTGAGCCAAACTGTTGAGAGGTACCAGGAAACAGAATTTCAACGGATAACGGGGTCCCACAGTGCTAGGAAGGCTTATTCCTAGGAAGTCTCAGTGTTAACGTTTGTCTTGCTCAAATCTGGGCCATTAGGGATGGGGCAAGACTATAACCTTAGATGACATTCAGTCTTCTTGAATAAACTCTTAATTTGTCAAATGCCTTTGATAAACCTCCAGAATCCTGATATGGTTGTTTTTGACAACTCTGTCTAGTTTCATTTATACTATTAGGGATGAAATTTGCCAAGATCCTCACTCCATTATTTTGGAAGTTCACATTTTTTTAAATAGCTTTGATTTTATTTTAATACATTTGAATTTATTTTAATTTTTACTAAAAATGAGTCCCTTGACTGTGTGTGGGGGGGAATACACTTAGAACTTAAAAATAAGAAAAATATGATATAGTTTGTTGGTGAATGGCAACAAAATCCAAAATTATATTGACTTAAGTTAGACACGAGTTCATGTCAGAGTCTGGAGTTGGTGCCTCAAAGTGCAAGAGCACATGCCAAGGTCACCTCATGGCCCAAGGTGGCTACTGGGGCTCTATCCAATACACATTTCCAGCTGTGAACAAGGAGGCACCACCCCACCCCAACCTTTAGAGACCCTCTCTAGAAACTGATACGTCACTCTTATTCGCTATTGGCCACAACATAGTCAAATGGTCATACCTACCTGCATAGGAAGCTGAGAGATGCAGCCTTTCTGCTGTTGACTGTGTGTCCATCTAAAGGTGCAGTTCTGTTGCCAAGAAAGGAGGGAGCCAGGCATTGGGAGCCACATTGAAAAGGAAGCTTGTGAAACCTGAAGACCCAGGAAATGAGGTGTGAGCTCACTACCCATTAGGTGATTATCCCATTTTCAGATGTGAAAACAGGCACAGAGAAGGGAAGCATTTGCCCTATACTGCACAGCTAGTCTTGGAACAGGTGGATCTCAAGCTGGGCTTGCCACCAGATGGTCAGGGATTTGAATCCTGGCCCTGCCACTTCCAGCCTGTGTGGCCTTTGACAGCTCTCTGCACCTCAGCTGGGAGAAAAAATAAATAAAAGATGTTCAAGAAGGTTTCCACTTCCTTCTTCAGGCATTACTGTATTTTCTGTGACAATGAAAAGGAAAACAATTGTTTTGAGGAAAAAATGAAGGGAATCAACAGAAAGTGTTAGTTTGAGCATCCACATGTGCAAAGCCAAATGTCACAGGCTCTGGTAGGGTTGAGAGATCAGAGCTGCAATCTCTGGCCTGGCTCTTCCATATCAACCTTGGCCTGAGGCCCTGGAACCAACCTCATGTGGACACTGGCCATGAACCAAGGGCCTCCACCAGCCTTAACTCCTGAGACTCCTGGTAACAGCTGCTTGCTCCCTTCTCCCACCCCACCAGCCTTTGTTCTCAGCACCCATCAGGATGGCCCTTCCCCTCCATCTCTGTCCTGCTAGTCAGTGCCTTCCCCATTTCTCCCACCAACCCTCAGTGATGGGGAACTTTGTTCCTATTTCACAGATGATAAAAGGGGCTCAGAGAGTTGAGGCACTTGCCAAGACCACACAGATTTTTTAAAGAATGTATCTTGATTTCAGAGAGAGGAAGGGAGAGAGAAACATCAATGATGAGCCACTGATTGGCTGCCTCCTGCACGCCCCCGACCAGAAATCAAACCGCTGTCTCCTGGATCATAGGTCAGTGCTCAAGCACCAAGCCACGCCAGCTGGGCAAGACCACAAAGATTTGAATTCACGCTTGTGGCAGGGACCTGTACTGAGTCTGGAGGAAAGGCCTTGGGTCTGGCAGAGTGAAATGGCTCCATGGAAAGTGTGGTAGGTTGAACAGTGGGGTGCAGGTCTCTGTGTCCAAGGAGGCAGGGGAGACAGCAAGCCATGGGTGGGGATTTCCATGGAATGGCTTAAGGCTGGGATGTCAGATGTCAAGGCGAAACAGGAGCCCACAGAGTGCCTTCAGAGCTGGGACTGGGAGAGGGTGATCAGGAAGATTGGGACTTTGTATGTGACAGAATGCCACAATGACATCTCCCTTCCCACTTGCAGTTTTAGAACCTTGCAACTCCCCTCATCAAGACATAGGGTCTGATTTTTTAAATTTAATTTATTGGGGTGACATTGATTAATCAAATTATGTAAGTTTCAGGTGTACAATTTTATAATCTATATATTGTATGTTCACCACCCCAAACCAAGTCTCCTTCCATCACGATTTATCCCCCCTTTACCCTCTTCTACCTCCCCCACCCTCCTTTCCCACTGGTAATCACCATACTGTTGTCTGTGACTATGAGGGGTTTTTTTCTTTGCTTAATCCTTCACCTTTTTCACCCACCCCCAACCCCCTTCCCCTCTGACAGCTCTCAGTCTGTTCTCTGTATGAGTCTGTTTCTATTTTGTTTGTTAGTTTATTTTGCTCTTTAGATTCCACTTATAAGTGAAATTGTATGGTGTTTGTCTTTCTCTGACTGGCTTATTTCACTTAGCATAATATTCTCCAGGTCCATCCATGCTGTAGCAAAAGGTAAGGTTTCCTTTTTTATGGCCAAGTAGTATTCCATTGTGTAAATATCCCACAGCTTTTTACCCACTCATCTACTGATGGATACTGGGCTGCTCCAAATCTCAGCTATGTAAATAACACTGCAGTGAACATAGGGTTGCATATATTCTTTCGAATTAGCGTTTTGGGTTTCTTCAGATAAATTCCCAGAAGTGGTATCAACGGGTCATAAAGCAGTTCCATTTTTAAAATTTTTGAGGTAACTCCAGACTGCTTTCCACAGTGCCTGCACCTGTCTGCATTCCCAAATTCTTCCCTTGAGTTTAGATTCAGTGATAATCAATGGAGACAGTAGAAGTGACACTGTATGACTGCTAAGAGTGGGTCATACATGGCACCACAGCTTCCACCTTGCTTGTTGGAACACTTACTCTTGAAGCCACCAGCTGCCGTGAAACAGCCTGGAGGCTGCCATGTTTGAGGAAGCCCAGACAAGCCCAAGCTGAGAGACCACCCAGACCATATTAGAAAGGAATGGCTGGCCAACCTCCAGCTGCTCCAGCTCTCTTCCCCCATCGTGTGCACCCACCTAGTTGAACCCTTCCCAACTAATTGTTGTTTTAAGCCACTAGGGTGATTTCCTAAGCAGCAACAGTAATTAGAACATCCAAAAACAGGTTTTTTTGACACAAGTTAATTAAACTAACATGGAAAGATCTTTAGAGCACTGTTAAGGATAAAAGCAAGGTGCACAATGAAATGTCCAGCAAGATGCCATTTTGGGCACACACAGGATGCCGGATATTTGCTTTGGATCATATCCCTGCCCTATAAGCGTTTAGAGAAAGGTGTATCAGGATACACCCCAAACGTACCAAATCTCAAA